AATCCGGGTCCTCATTTTACCCACCTCGGAAGGATGGAAGGCTGAGTCAACCCTGAGCCGGTGAGATTTGAACCGCCGAACTGCTGAACTGCAGTCAGCTGAAGTAGCCTGCAGTGCTGCATTTAACCACTGCACCATCTGTCAAAGCAAATGTGATATCCTGTATGCACAGATGAAATGACCAGAGTTATAAGGTCCTTATTCTTTGGGCTTATAGACAGCATTTTGCAAAATGCTCATACAAATGGATTTTCACAGTCCTATTTGTTATTCTTCTATCAGGCCTGGCATAAGACAATGAAACCCTTGGAATATTTCAGTTGAAAGAAGGATTGACAATTGCTAGGGATGCTACTATGGAAATTCACATAGGTAGTCTCTCCTTCAAAAAGCTCTGGTTGCAGTTATCCACTATTTTTAAGTTAGTAGGAAAGGTCAAAGTCTCTAAAGAACCAACTTTAAACCCAAGTTCTTTCCTAATATAGACATTCTAAGCATAGTACTTAGCTTTGTATTTTTAATGTATTTTTTTCCTCCTGAGGCAGAGGGTCAGAGGTCCTGTCTGTAGGCACGTCAATATCAACTTCATAATCTAGGACTATAGCAATTTCAGGAACTATTTTTATTAAAGTTAGTGGAATTGAATCTAATTAAATACTCTGAGTTTGCTATAGATTTAATACTAAAACACAGATGTTCAGATGTCAGGCTGAAGACATGGAGGTTAGGGAGAATAAGGGCTGTATGATGTACAGTATGTATATATGTTTTCTGGGTGAAAGCCTCCTCATCTACACATCTGAAGAGAGTGTATAAAGCTATTATGTGCATGTTATTTTATGTTTGTTTTTTGAATGATGAGTCTTCAGGAACTGCTTTGATAAGGGAGAAGTGGAAAAGTGCCATATCAAAAGAAGATGCTTCATTGGTCTAATAACTTTCCTTCTGAATAAGTTTATAGTGAGTGAATTGGGGTGGGAGCAGCAAATAGGTACAAATGAGATAATATTAACATTAAAATAAAAGTTATTCAGAGAAATAGATGCAAAAGCAGCCTCTGTGAAACTGTACACATGTGAAGCAATCTGCATTAACATTGAAATAAGATAAATTATTTTAAACTCATGAATGCTAAGAAATAATTGCAAAGCTTTATGTATACTTTCTGCATCTTACTGGTTTTTTTTTAAAAAAAACTCTTCTAAGAGAAGTATTTAAAATGAGTTCACATCTGAAACTGAATAAATAAATGTGGGTTTTTTTATGAAATTAGTTACGTGGAATGAAGTCTCAAAGATGCTTTTATTTCAGAAGGCAAATCTCCATAGAGACATGGAATGAAGACATCTGAAAATTAATGGGAGATTATTCACTACAAAATAAACTCACAGTCCAGACTACTTCTTTCCTGAACTTACATTTTTGTTCTCTGTTTGCTTTCTCAATGTACAAAAGTAAAGTAGTACTAGTAGAAAAATGTAAGAATGTTTTGCCTATTTTATTCCATGTTCCAGTTTTCTTAACATATGGATATGCTGATCAATTTAGGAGAATAGTATTGTTTGTTTTAATATTTTTAAGATTATATTTTATTTTTAATGTCAAGTTGGAATGATTGTGATGTGACATAAATTGACACAGTCAAAATCATGAAGATAACCTCAGATGTGTTGGTCTGCAACTTTCAGAATTTCCACTTAATATGCTTTCCAGTATCACAGGAAGCCATCAGGTGATCTTTAAATTATATCTGGAGATCCAACCTTGTGTATGAAACTGGGTTGAGCAATTTATAATTCTTACATGAATAAAAATAGGCAGCCTTCATTATAGTATTATAAACTGAGAAATATTAGAAGAGAAACAGGAAGTTCAACCTTGTGAAGGAACAACCTTGCCTTTTCCCCTCACATCCACAATTAATTAATTCCCCCTTTCTGGGGGGGAATTGTTCTGGGGGGGAACTGTTCTGGAAACATAAAAAATATGATCTATAAACTGACATATATGAATAGAAAATATGAAGGATACCCTTCTATATTATCTCTCTAGGATGTAGATAGCAATAAGCATTGTGATCTATTTTACTTATACCAGAGAGACTCTGCTGGAAGACAAGCATGCTCTAAATTATGAGAAAGTTGAAGTGCCACTTTGTATTTTACATTCAAATGCCATTGATGCCACTGGTACTTTCAACAGATCAGGATTGCCTCTTACAAGCTTTGTTTGTATTGGCAAACAATACAAACAAATATTTGGAATGTCTATTTGACCATGTAGTTCTATGTTCTTTTTCCCAATGTTTTCACTCTCCTAAGTACATAGTGTGTGTGTGTGTACGTGTGTGTGTGTGGTGGGGGGAGATAGACTAATATAAAGTTATACCAACTGCAACTAATGTCAAAGTATACCTAAGGCAAGACTCATGGGCTTCTGATTTTCTGATTAGCCTAGTGCCTTTAAACAATACACCAAACTTTTTCAGAAATTGATAAAACTTAATTTTTAGGATTTCTAGTCATCATGACTCTTCTCAGTTTATCCTGTTCAAAGATTACAATGGTTAATATATTTCCATTTCATATTTTGGAAGTAACTTTGGACAATTATTATTTGCACATGGCTTGCTTTTCAAACTTACAATACAGACTGGTAAGAAATAATGTGCCATATGGGTATTCCTAATGCTTAATACATTTTTGCAAGATTTTTTTTTTGGGGGGGGGGGCAATACAAGGATACGTGTTATGTCTTTAAGAAGTGAAATGTTTGAGATAACCAAATAAATTCATTGCCCTTTTGTGGAACACCTTGCTGTGGATGCAAGAAAAGGCTCCCAATATTAGCATTTACACATTACCAGGGAAATGCCCCTAATTTAAAATAATTTTAAATTATAATTATAAATTGTTTAATTAGTTACTTTTACAGTACTATACATAACGTACAGAAAATAATATATTTTCTAACTGTTTTTGCAGTCCATCCAAATGTATACTTTTTGTCATTTATTTATATCTTTAGAAATAGAAATTACATTATTGATAGATTAATGTGACTTTTTTGAAATATTGTTAAATAGGAGAAATATATAAGGAAAAAA